TTGTCATTCAACGGATAGGCGACACATGTCACATATATGCGATACGGAACTCGGGTAAGAAAACCACACCGCCAGAGTGCCTAACATCATTTGACTCCATATTTATTCTAAACAATGAAATGTTACAAATAATACAGCACAAAACCCTCCTTGTGAAAAAGTGGAATAAGGCAATAAGGCAAAAATGTGGGCAGGAGAGGACAGATATCTGCATGAATCAAAGTTGTCCCTGGTAAAAAAATATTTTCTTATGCATTAACCTCTGCATTGGTTGATTCATCCAAAAGCCGAGCTTCCATACTGTTGTTCGCCTCTTCCACAGGCGATTCTGTGGAGTCCGCCTTGCGACTGTAGAGGTGGTGTTGAATGAAGAAACCGCAGTCAAAAGCTATGGAGAGCAGACCGAGACCAAGTTTCGTTGGAGATCCGTAGACAATGGCCCAATCATCTGCAAAAAAGGAATTAACTTCAGTAGCAGAGGCAACACGAAAAGAGACGCACATTTTCCTTAAATATCATCAAATTCCCAACGTTTTGAGTTTGGAAGGAGAGCAATCGGAAAACCTTCATCCTCATCATGCTGCCTACAGGGCCGTAAAGTGGGTGATTGATAAGAAAATTCAACGCCACTTTACTTTAAGGATTCGCTTTGATAGAATACCCTGCTCGAGCAAGAACAACCGGATGCAAGAATTCATGCGTCACCGGCAGATTGTTTGAAGTGAAAGGGAAAGAAATTAGACAGGGCTTTCTTGGTATGGAGATGAATGCATTTTGAACGGTAAAAGCACTAAAAGGAGCATTTCGTTTGTGGTTTGGAGGGGCCCGATTCGCTCCCCTTAACGTGTTGATCCCAATACCAAGGATCCATTCATGCCTAGAAATAAGATACTCGTGTACACGAGTGACGACTATTACCAAGCGTCTTCAAATACGGGCTAAGGGTTCCAAATTAAAAGAATTTTGACAAATTTTAGAGGTTTTGCAATGCAGAAACTTCACTTTCAAACAACGCAAAATCGTGTAACACATCGAAGTGATGAGATGATAAAAATCGAGACGTTTAGTGACAATGACAGTGTGAGAGGGCGGTGTCAGCTCCATTCGCTCCTACGCTAGATTTAGTCAACAAATCACAATTTCACGTGGCAATCAGTGTTTTTTTTTTAAAAAAAGCCAAACTTAATGTATAAATAGAGAGTTTCCGTTCATCCAACTTTTTAATGCCTAGTGATAACCTACTCCAGCGCTCAATAAGTAGTATCACCAGTTCAACTACAATTTCACAGGCTGTCTGTTTGGAAAAGAAGCCTTAAAAATGCTCAAAATGCAAAGTTGTTGAAGACATAAGGCAGCCAAAGTAGTTTGCGTAGTGGTTTTCCTTATCATCAAGTTGCAGAAAGCCTCATAAAATAGAACTATTATAACAATCTGGAAGCCTTTCAACGCAAGACACAAGGTTGATGATCCGATCCCCCCTTTGAAAAGGCTTTTTTTTCTCAGAAATTCTGGAAAACAAAACTTGGCTCTGGCCACCACCCTTTTTAGTCCAACTTAGCTTTCCAATTGGCGATATTCTCTTTTCCATGCAATTAGTCAACAGATGGAAGAAAGTAATGAATTTCATTGGGAGGAGAATGAGGAGAATAAGGAAGACAATAATGCAACAGGCAGTCTCCCTCTGCCTCCTCTTGCGAGCAAAAGGCATTGCCGATATGCGATCTGGAGTTGCAATGTCAATTAGGATGAAGAGACTTTATTCCGGCTGATTGGCAAATCCTGGTTGTTATTAGCGTACAGATCCACAAGTCTCACTGAGGTACTCCGAGCAACTATTTCCTACCCGTAATTATGGGATCTGAAGAAAGTGATAGCTCTCAAGTGAAGAATGTCATCTTCAAGGCAGGATTAGTTGTCTGAGGATGAAGTAGTCTTCAAAATTGGAAGGCGAGAATCCACATTCTGGAAAAGCTTCTGTCATTTAATCTGTGGTTAAGACCAACAGCGAAATTGATCATGACCCCTGAGACACGAACCGATTTTGACCCAATACCTTAAAGAAGTAAATCACCTCCTTCACGGAGGGAAGAGTGACGTCAAGTAATAATCGCGTAGGCTACATGGGAATATATCGGTGAGAAGTGAGCTTTTGTCGGTAAGAAGTGATGGCGCGCAATTTGAGGATAACGGACAGAAATAAAAAGCCTCCACATCTCAGACTACGAATTGACTTTTCTTAAACCTGAAAACTACTATCCAATCTGAGCGAAAGTCGAAAGAGCAGTAGAGAAGGAGTATCCTCCAACAATGGGAGATCGGAAGAATAGCCAGCATCAAGAGCGATGAGAGAACGCACCCAAAAGCCAACTTTCGCCTTTTCTCCCTCTCTCCTCTGTTCATTCTGTGTGCAAACGGAAACAAATCGTCGTTTCATTACAGGATACTACCCTACAGAATGATTAATAACACCTTTTGCTCTGCCTTCTTCTCTCGTTCCACACAAATGTAAGAGGAAGAGAGAGTTGAGATGCTCTTTCTGCATCTTTTTAGAAAAAATAAAGATAGAGGAAAGCGCATAAACCACTCACATAGAAGAGATGAAAAGTGTGAGAAAGAGAATTTGTGAACGGAAGCGTAAAAATAAAGTTAAGGGAAAGATGGTGATTGGTTTCGTGATCACATTACTAAAAAAGGGGAGTTCAAAAGCGTATTGCCTTCTGTGACGGACGTTCTTATTCAGCAGACCGATTTGGGAAAGATACTTAACTGAGGGAAAATTACACGGACGGCCATATTATCCAAAATAGAACTTAACTTTACCCAGTAACAGCTGGTCAGCATTAATTTCATAAATGAGGATAGTCAGGACAAAAGTGAGCCTTCAATTCCACACATTGAGGAGCCAAACGGGGCAGTAAATCCTGAGTGTATCCCGTAAGGGGAGTTGGCCAGCTTACGTGTCGTTGACCGAACAGTCCACGCGCTCTTAATAAAGAGGAGGTAACGGGACGACTGAAAGTTCACTGTGGCACAGCAATGACACACTCAGAGGTGGTGCCTGTGTCTCATCGACAGCCAGACGCACGCCTGTGCAGCAGTGATGACTTCGACCCGGCCCGCAGCCTCAGCAGTCATACCTGTAAGCATTAAGCTGCCAGGTGGAATGTGCTCTCCCGGACAGGTGATAGGTAAGAGACGAAACACCTTGCACGAGAACGATCTGCACAATTATTCGACATTGAACATCAGCGGTGGGTGCAGTGAAATGGGCTCTCCTAGGACAGCTACGCAGGGCTTACAAATCCATCTACGCTTAAGCTTTCCAAGCACTGAACGCTGCAGCAATTGTAACCGACTGCATATATCTACTTCTCAAACCTCACAGTTTACTTTTTTACCTAGACAAACCCAAAAGTCCTGGTTTGACTTAAACAACCCTTCGAGACCTTTACAATTCAACATCAATTATAAAGAATGCGAAGTTAATCTAGGAAACATACTCCACAAAATAATTTAAAATAACGATTTATCTTATATATCGGGAAAGCAATACCCCCCGTCTTGATACTTCCTTTAGGTCAATATTGATGCAGAAAGGGATTGGCGAAAGGGGCCATGCTTCTTGGAGAGCATTGTCCTGCTTCCAGTGAAATCTCCAAGTCAATCCCTCCCGGGGAGAGTAAATCACATAAAAGATGTGACGGTCAGACATCGCCACCGATCACAAAGCGTCTACTATCATTGAAAGACAGCATTCTCCCTATGGTGCTAATTCGCGGTGTGATATTTGCTGCCACATGTCGGCGTCGATTAGGAGCCTATGGAAGAATTGTTGCGATTGAAGTGAAAGATTAACGGCCGGTGATTCCGGAAATCTAATCAAAGGACAAATGGATTGTTCAATAGAAATGGTGTTCACTTAAACATACTTGTAACTACGCACACTTCAGTCTTTGTGGGTCATGACCCCACCTCAATAGCCCGACGTCTCGTTCGTGGGTATTAGCTTACCAGCCGCTTCGTAGCATGGTATTAGACGATCACCCCTACCGATTCTCAACGACCCCAAGCACTACAGTTTACATCTTTGAATAATTTAAAGTAGCTAACCGCTTTAGAGTTGAAATCAGCCGTACAGATAAGTAAAACAAATAAGTGGTATATTCCAAGGTAAAAAACTAACTTGTATTACGGAGAAAAAAGGACACAACTCATCTCTCTCAGAAGTATTACCTTGTAGAATGGCTTGAATTGAAATTCAGAAAAGAAGTGAAAACCACTTAGCAGTCTCTTACAAAGTGGTAATTTTACGATACTACCGGTTTAGACTTTGGTAACACTATCATGATGGATTATTTGGGATTCTTTTACCATTTTTAGAATCACAAAAAACCAGAAAAATAAAATCAAGAATATGACACACAATTGTACACTTGATCACACTAACTGTTCAGCCTTTGCAGTTCCTGTCCCCCTTTTCTAGCGGCATGACTTCCTACCCAGTCGGAAACACCAACTCATTCTTTCGCACAGACAAGAGCCTCGGAGATGACCCAGGACACCACGATTGGTGGGATGGCAGTAAATAGGGTCCAGCCATGTAAAGAACAACTGCGTTGTCTAATCATTACCGCATGTAAGGGGCTTTGGCAGCCACCTCCAATTTCGTATTTTGTGATAAGAGGTAACGTAAGACTTGAAGGGCTTGAAAACACCCATACTACCCGCGAACAAATACCTAGACAGATGACTGAGTAATACGAACAATGCGAAAAGGGTAAATAGAGTGCTGAGAGGTCCTTAATCTATGCCTCTCTTACTATAAGTCTCTCCTTATAGGGAAATTTCCCCTCACGGCATCAATCCACCCATTCCGGATCGAATAAGTCAACGAAAAACGGGTTATCCAACGAGGATCAGCGGAAGCAGAAAATGAGTCATGGGAGACAGTGGCCAAATGCGTACAAATATATATGCCACAATATGCCTCGCACCTTTCTAGCCAAAAGGTTAAGGTGTCCCATCCTCCACCACTATTCCGCCTCCTGACCCGTCGGTTTTAAAGCGTCATTATTGAGAAGAGCGACAATTCTGATGCCCATGGCCCTGAGTGTCTAGAGTTGGTTCCCTCACCGCTGTCGCTTTTTGACACTTCGTCACAAAATTCTGATCCAACTTAAAAGTCTCTTCAGAAGAAGCAAGTACATCCCAAGTTTATCGCATTTCGTACGCATTAAATGTTGTCTTCGAATCTGTGATAGCCTTCAGCTGTCACAGCGGAGACCCAAGGCCTTAGTCGAGAAGCAGTCACACGAGTGGGTGTAATGGCCCTCAGTCCCTCTTTACGGCTTTGACAGCGTCCAGGTGAGATGCGTGACACCAAGAGTGTTCGCATTGAGAAGCGCTATCCTGCTCTGAGCAATGTGGGGTCAGTAAACTGGCACAGACTTTTCATGTAAAAAAGGAATGCCAAATGCGTATGATGAGAAGGCTTTTATCCTTCTCGTAAACAATAACTGCACCGCCCCAAGACTTCAATGAAGACGAGAGGAAATAATACTGAGGTAGAATATGTTTTATTGACGTAGAGCAGGACCTGGGGCTATGACATAGAGCGGAGGTCAGGCCGTCCTGCGAATAAACAATAGCGGAACCCCTAAATGGCCTGTCACCAAAGTCAAGATCTAAACAAACAAAGCATTGCTACATTGCTAATCAACGACGTATTTCAGCCTTTCTAAATAAATTGACTTTTGATATTTACAAGAACAAAACATAAGGAGCTGAGGTGCTACTTTTTCTGGAAAGTGGTAAAAGTGTCCCGAATTGCCAAGACGAGAAGGCCATCAGTCTTAATTACTAGCTACCACCCAAAGGAAAAAAAAAACGAAGCCACTCACCCTCTCCCACCATCAGCGCCACGAGAACTATCCACTTCTCTAGAGATGTGGATTGATTAGGGTCATCCTCAGAAGCGACAATTCACTCTGAAATTAATCCCATTTAGAATTCTTCAAATTGTCTTCGCTAGGTGAGAAGACCTAGTTGAGTTAAATCCTGTCTCGGGACGATGCAATGCTGTCTGTCAGTAGAGATGAGATAAAGTGTCTTATTTCCCCCTTTTTTGACCTATTTTAGCAATTTAAGGCAAAACTACGGTTTGAATCTATCCTTATTCATCAACAATATTCCTTTTCATTTCTTAGAAAAGAAAAATAGAAAGCAGACGTGAAGAGATAAGTTGCAAAGGAGAAAACTTGTGCCTCAATTTACTTCTCCTGAGCATACGTGAGTTGTTTCATCACTGAGGCAGAAGATGGTGGAGTTGAGTAATCGCAGCGCAAAGGAAAACTAGCTAGTAAATCTACAGCTACAACCCAGAATGAGGTAAGCGCAAACGATGTTAACACTGGGCAAATTGTTACCAACTTTACAGCAATAACTAACTTTCCTGCGTCTTCAGTATAGGACGGACTCGGAGGGGACTCGAGCGCTCTAATATGACAGTGGAAGTTGTACTACCGAACTGTCCAATTCAACAAATACTTAAACAACAAAGAAGGAATTATTCTCAGTTCAACGAGGGCATTTTACACGTCTCACATGTGTGACGCGCAGGCTCAGGCAAGTGGAAAATTTGAGCATCACACATATTTGACGATGGGAATGGACTTGTCAAGATAGCCCAGTGTAAGACGTTAACTTCGGCAATAAAAATTGACAAAATTCCTCATTTTGTTGGAATAAACGGCTCAGACATCTTTTCTACAGTAGTATTGTCATCGGCCGAACTTTCTACACCCATGAGGGTAACAACCCCTCAGGGGCTGCCATGCCACTACCTCATTAAATCCCACCGATACCGTAAGATGGCGGATCGGTCCGTCAATTGGCTGGTTCCTCCTTTTACATGTAGTTCCCCAGTGGTTTGGCAATGCCGATTAGACAGAATTGATCTAGTTACCTTTAGTTCGTCAATGCAAATTAATACCCCTGTACTACAGAAATTACTTCGGCGGATTCAACGGGTTTGTTTACTCCGTAGCTGGGACCTTGGAAAATGCATCTACCTATTAAAATGTGGTTAGCCGGACTCTTTGGATCATGCAATATTGGAAGAGCAGAAATTCTCCACCACTGCACTTTTGCAGTGCAATAGTGTCTCCTTATAACTTGCAATCGCCTCAGTTTCGATCGGAATGACCTCAACGAGTTACCACAACCAAGAGGAAACGCTGACCATCTCCTGGTACAAGATAACCAATGCAAACATTTCATACTAACCCTGTCGATGGTTTCGCATCTCAACTTCGTCTCGCCCGTCACCCATAAACTTGTCTGAGAAGCGAAAGGCCTCAAGCGGAAGCTTGCCACATGGGAAGGGGGAAGATAACTAGACCAAAGAGGAGAGAGCAACCCCAAATGTTTGCATTTTAGATAAAAACTGGGTTAAATCAGCATCCTTTAGGCCAGGTGACAGGAACAGTGACTATTTCCCTCCATTAGAGTGCATCCCTTAAATAAAATGCATCACTTTCCCCATGAAGAGAAATGACAAAAGGTTTTGTGATTTTGGATTCCATATTCTAGTTGATCGCTTTGCCTCACTGCACTACTTCAACTAGGCAGTTGGAGCTCCTCATCGACTGATTCGGAAGAAACCGGCCTATTGGATAATTTGGTGTACTTCGTGTGGCTTCTAGATTTCGAGAGAATCCATCTTCCTCTGTCAATTTATAATTGTGTAAGGAAACACAGATCTGGTAAAGCACCACTGAAACACTACGCCATCTACTCTAGCTAATAAATCTTTGCCCCTTCGAACATTCCAAACTAAGCTGCAGCAATTGTGGAATCAGCCAGACGCATTCTGATTTACAAGTGCATACAAAGACAGTCCTGCGAGACCAGAGAACAAAAAACACTAGGTTTTCTTTCTAGGAATACATTTTACCTGTCACTAATCACGGAGGCACTATTTTATGGAGGTTATTCTCACCCGTCCACCCCTTTTTCAGTGTTCATGGTCAGATGTGACACCAATGCCACGTATTAACAAGCCACGGCAATGCCTTTTGTCCGGTCGAAGTAATGAGAAAAGTGGGGAAGAGCGTAGAGGATGGAAGATGGTAGATAGGTAGAAGGGAGTGGGGAGGAGAGCAAGATTGGTTAGTTTACCGTGTCTAACATGGCTTGTTTCTCATTTTATTTTAATGGATCGTGGCAAAATGGGTTTCTTCATCAATCACAAAAGTAATTTTGTTAAAACTTGATTCCTTTCCATACGGAAAGGGGACATATGGTAGGATTTACTACACGGAAGGAAGTAATTGAAGTAGTATAGAAAAAAATGAGTTGAAAAGACGTCTTAGTTGCACTCCTGGTAAGTGTTGGATAACGCATTCACCTAACCTAGAGATTTATTGCGCTGTTGACTTCAAAATCCAGACCAGATTCGACGTTTCCGAGAGAGCATTTGAATTTGGTGTATTACAAAAGAACGGATAGGCCTGGTTTACAAGATGCGAGACCTTCTGCACCCAGACAATCAAAGTCAAATGGCTGGGGTAGAAAACAAGTCTGTAACTTCTCCAACGTGCCCTCTTCAAATGCTACAAAAAGGGACACATTTTTGATAGAGAATAAGTGACTTTCACACTGAACAACCGTGGGCTGAGTTGCCATGGCGCGCTTACGTAGAGACACAGGAGCGAGAGTTTAAGAGAGGGGGTGAAGGACCGGATCACAGTAACAAAATACGCCCAATTTTCTCATTCTTGTATAATAAAACAACCCAATATTTGCTCTTCTTAATACCTTCTATTCAACCAGCCTTTTAGTTAATCATATGAAATAAACGTCGGTCAGGCAGGATGGTCTTTTTTAGCTGTGATTGCTGATAGTGGTCACCAATCACGGTCAGATACGACAGGGAAAACAATAATAATACTAATACCAACTTGGAGACAAAATTTCTATGCGGAAAAGAATAAGAATGACTAAAAAGGAAAAAAAACTACAGGGCTGAAAAAGGATGAAAACAGGTAACAGTTAGAGGAGATGGTAGAGCGAAAGACCAGCACGGTTCACACTTTCTTTAGCTCTTTTTTCGAGCAGGCCGTAACGAAAAGTGGTTTCTTCACTGATCACGTGCAGCACACTCTTACCACGAAAATATCTTTTTAGCCACAAATAAGATACCCAAAAACAAAGAACTCGTGCATAAAACAAGAAATATTAGTTAGCCCAAACTAAAGAGGTAAAAAGGGTGCCAATCTCTACCCCATTTCCCAGAGAGCTATTGGACGATGCCCATCGTACGTGTGATTACACTAACCCCTGCAGATGTACCACACTGGAAATGGCAGTTACCTCATAACAATAAACCGAACACAGCTGCCTTGTTTGATTGTGAGACAGTTCTAGCCAAACCCTTAATGACGAGGAAACGCAGACACTGATAGCCCTGGCCAGGTATGCTAAAGTACAGCTTTACAGCTGCAAAACCGATGCACCACATGTCGATCCGACCAACAACCATCAGACGTTAAAGGAAGGCATCATACGCCGTTCTCTAAGAGCTGCCGATGTAAAAGTCGAGCAATGTTTCTTTTTCAGCATTTAAAATTAACAGACAGTTCCACATCCTTACATTTGGAGTTGTCTAGAGAGGTCATCCATCTACCCTGTATCCAAGTCTTTACACAAGTGCTAATAGCCTAAGCACACAATCAACTCATCTGGAACTGATAGTTCACCAAATGACTTGAATTGAAGGAAAAGTTGGACCCAAATAACCCACATGAAAAAGAAAAAGAAACGTGCAAAAATTATCGCCCGAATTAAAGCTATTTTATTACCTGTAGTTGGATCAGGCGAATCTCAGAAGGTGTCCTGTCCAAGAGAGACTAAATTTATATAGAAAAGTAGTCACTCCTAGCCTCTTGACCTTGATGTATTCCTCTGACTTGGGCGAAATTTCCAACGTTCCTATGTGGATGTCGTTTGCGTAACTAAAAATTAAACATTTATGGGGACAGGAAAGAGAGGGAGAGGGGCGGTTAGCCTATCATGATCAATGGGGGATGAAGTGGATCACAGCGAAGTCGATTTCTTCACCACCCAGACATGACGCATTTGGCAATATAAGGTAGATAGAAAGCAAAGCACGGTAAAGTATCTCACAAGCATTTGAACCTATTAAGTATGTCAACTAAACAAGTTTATTTGCCATCCAACTGTTCGCTGATCGTAAAATTGCTCTCCAAACACGAGGCATCAAGCCATCTCATCGCAGAAAACCAGCATCAAAGGGCCACAACGCGTTCATTTGACAGCAGACATTATCCAACCAAATTACAAATACTGAGTTGTTGGTTTATCTAAAGTACAGACAGAAACGACCCAAATGAGATGGCCCAAATGGATGCAAGGTCACAAAAAAACTTGCCATCCACTTTAATCTTACTGAGAAAGAGTAATATTTTCGCCTACTTTTGGAAGAGTAGACGAGTGGTGGCCCAGTGGGAATCACAGTATCATCTCATGTGCGACCAAGTGTATCCAATTCGGCGAATAGTCCACCATTCTCCCGTGAGAACCAACGCTTGATCCCACAACAGTGTGGAGCCGGTAATGGGTGCCTAAAAATTCTCTTATCTTTAAGACCAATTCATCTCTGGTTTAAATTTATTTGATTCTTCCTTGAAATACACATGAATTTTTGTTGAGTGGCAATCTGGCAGGAGAAAAGACTGCAACGTAGTGGATTCTCTCCACATCAAAGGGAAAGACGGAAAGGTTGCCTCCTGACCTTGGTGTTTTTAGAAGGGGAATATTACTAATAACTGCTGGAGGAGAAATAACTAAACATTCATATTTAGAGGAGTGAAATGCACTGAATTCTTATGAGTCAAAATATCCACGACATACGCTATCTACTGTCCATTATGTGAACGGAGTTCACCGATGACAGGCACTGACGGTAGCATTACAGTTCATGTCTATCCCTCTCTCAAGCCGTGTCTTGTGGTGCATCAGCTTTGCTGACACCGTGGCCACGCTAGTCACTTGGATTAAGTGACTTATAAGAGTTTCAAATACTAATGAAATTTATCATTTGGCGATACCGAGGATGTGGCCGGTAATGTGCTCCGGGGCCTGAGACCTCTTTTAAGACGTGAACCAATTTAGCAAGATGGTGATGGAAAATTACTCAGACAAAAAGGCAAA